AAAAATTAAAATCAAATATCGTCTTTTTAAATAGATCCATGTATTTATTCAATATTCTTATAGTATATAAAAAGACGAATTTATCACATTATGTATTATGTTAAAAATCCAATAATTTCAATTCTTCGCAACTTGCGTAAAGGAACCATGTTGCGCTTGGCTTAGAACCAAGACATTACCGTCTCCTGGTTATTCGATCTCCAGGTAACTCAGTTAATACTTACAACATAATCTGTCGCCTATACTTAAAGCAGTGAGAAATTTAAACAATTAATAGCAAATTTGATTGGACGCACTAGTACGCACTGATGCATATTAAGCGTATTATACATTAATTTAATTCAAGTTTAAAAATGAAACGCAAATATAAAATTCATCAAATAAAATGAAATCTGATTCCTCAATATTTAACAAATTTAAGAACAAAATATGTAGGGAAATAGGAGCCAACAGTAATTATTGTGCAAGTATAATAATAAAGATTTAATATATATTAATACAACTATCTTTTCAATTTCGACAGAGGTAATACGCATTTCGATTTGCTTCAAGTCATTCTCAACAAATTAAATAAATTAATTATATCACGCTCTCATGCAAGTTGTGCAATCCTGGCGCCAATCATCCGCTTATTCCTATTTGCAAAGATTCCTATTTGTTCCATCGTTAAATGATCAAATAAAACAAGGAATTTCACGAGATAGACTATAACAACGTTAAGATTTTAGTAAAGGTGATTAATGATAATTTAAATCTATATATAAGGAAACGAGTACGGATGATCACTCACCAAATTGCAACAGACTTATACACTCACATCCAGTAGTCAACACAATGTACATTACATAATTATAATAAATAATAAGCAACATTTTTCATCAAATTATTAAGAATATGAATAACATAATTAATATGTCAGTTATCTAAATTAAATGACGTCTCATTTCGCAAGAATAATTGACGTATCGGTTATCAAGACAATAATAATGCTACGTGTTATCGCCGAACTATCGAGAAGCAAAGTCATACTTTAAGTCATAAATAAATCTGTAGATCGAGAACTGAAATTTAAACATTCAGTAATGGTTTAAAAATTCAGTATCCATTTGCAAATTTTAGCTTATCTTTTGTGTTTCTATAATAATGTAACATTTTGAAGTCAATTTTTTAAAATATCTTTCTCTGTCCAATATCCGAATATTATCCCTATTAAATTTATGATCATTATGTCATAACTTATGGTCTGTAATCATCGAGCTAATAGAACGTTTTTCTAGGGATATGATTACGATATTCTGAAATCTGTGTCTTTAATTGCCGATTTGTTTGCTCCACACAAAGCTTCACAATCCATACAGGCAATCTTATCATTACTTATATTTTTCTAGATCACATTTTTTTGCGAGCTGATTAAACAGGTCCTTGTAAACTCTCATCAAACCTCGAAGTTTGTTCACACTGTAAAATTTTTGAGACTGTGTCATTAATCATTTTCTTAAATTTATCTGAAATTTTATTAACAAACTAAATAGTAAATTAAATCACTTTTTTGTTAATATCTATATATTATGTGTTTTCCTTTATGATGTTTTTATTATTTATAAAATATATAATTATTTCTACGAAATAATGTTAAAAATAATTCCAGTGAGTAGTCATTATTCATACAATTTGTTGAGGGAATAAAAGGATGTTCAGGATTTCATGGTTTAATTATTTTCTTTACATATATTTACATCAATTTGCATCAAATCGAATTTGCTATTAGAAAAATGAATTTATTTTCTGTTAAAACAGATTTTAATGCTTAAATATTTCAGAATAAGTTTGTATACATATCTAATTCTGCAAACTGTGCCAAAATCATTTTTGAAACATAATCATGAATAGAATCAGAATACTAATATCACATATTAAGCTTATATACATATACATATATGTATTTATTTATTTCATTTTTTGTATTATATATCCATTTCATTTTCTAATAGAGTTTTTTTTAATTATTAAATTGAGACATTTGACTTGAGGTCAAAATCGCAAAGCGACATCCTTTAGAACTTGTAAAACAAGTTTTTCTGTAACTAAAAACATTTTATAATCCAGTTAAATACATCTTTTAAAGGTCCAGTAGGAGATTCCGGGAAAATTGGATCTTATTCTGGGTGAACAGACTTACAATTTGAAGGAAATAACGCTCCTTTAAACGCTTGGAATTTTGCTAAGATCGATCTTAAACTCTATATAATTATTTTTTTACATTAATTAAGCTGCATTTCTTAAGGCGTATATCGTAGAGCTAAATGAATTATTACAAATTTGATCGTGTTCAGCGACCAAAAAGACATACAATATCACACTTAAATCCAAATTAAACCATTTTTGCATCATATCATATGTATTAAGGAAAATCGAAACTTTGATTTAAAAATTGTTCACTAGCGAGCACTAAATCTTAATATTTTTTTGATAAAAATGTAGAGATGTTTTTTAGTTTAAA